TCTTTGAAGTTACATACTAGTGGAGAACGGACAAGGGATGAACAGTCGGGTAATACATCAGATGTGATTAACGCTACGAAAAGATAAAACAGGGAAAGGAGCTAGTGATGAGGTGGTTAGAGAGAGCTTCTACAATAGGGCAGAGACACGTGGGAAGTAAGGCAGTGACTTAGGAGCATGCTGGAGGGAAAAGCAGAATTCTGTAGAAAAAGTCTATTGAATAATTTCTAGGTCCAAAGAATGTACATTTAAAAGTGGATGACCAATCTTATCAAATTATGTTTTATATTTTTTAAAATGTATGCACTTCTTAGTATAACAATTTATTAGAAACACATTCTTTTTTTCTCCCCTACATTTTCCCATTTTCCCCTACCCCTGGTAATCGTTTTATTCTATGTATCTGATTTTTTTTGATTTTTTGATTTTTTTAGATTCCACATGTAAGACAGATCATGCAGTATTTGTGTGTTTGTGCCTGGATGATTATTATTATTAGTTTTTAGAATAATTGTTGCAAATGGCATTTCCTTCTTTTTTTTCTTTTTGAGACAGTCTTGCTGTGTCGCCAGGCTGGAGTGCAGTGGCGTGATCTCGGCTCACTGCAACCTTCGCCTCCTGGGTTCAAGCAATTCTCCTGCTTCAGCCTCCTGAGTAGCTGGGACTACAGGCAAGCGCCACTACGCCCGGCTAATTTTTGTACTTTTAGTAGCGATGGGGTTTCACCATGTTGGCCAGGGTGGTCTTGATCTCTTGACCTCGTGATCCGCCCGCCTCGGCCTCCCAAAGTGCTGGGATTACAGGCGTCAGCCACCGTGCCCGGCCCATTTCCTTCTTTTTTAAAGCCGACTCTTCTTTCATTGCATGTATATATCACACTTTATTCATCTGCTGGTGGACACATGAGTTGTTTTCATATTTTGGCTACTGTGTAATGCTGCGGTGAGCATTTGCGGTGGGAGGGCAGATATCTTTCCAAGGTGGTGATTTTATTTTCTTAGGGTGTGTATCCAGCAGAGGGATTGCTGAATCGTCTGGTAGTACTACTTTTAACTTCCTTAGAAATATCGATAGGATTTTCCATAGTGGCTTCACACTGACAGTGGGTTTCCTTTCTCTACATTCTCGCCAAAGCTTGTCTTCGTGATAGACATGTGAGGTGATATATCTCACTGTGGTTTTGATTTTCATTTTCCTGATGATCAGTGAGGTTGAGCACATTTTCATATACCTCTTGGCTATTTGTATGGCTTCTTTGGAGAAATGACTATTCAGGTCTATAAACACATTGTTAAACAAGCATCCATTTGTTTTCATCATCACCAAAAGGGATAGCATTTTTGTTTTCTTTTGAGACAGTGTCTCACTCTGTCACTGAGACTGGAATGCAATGGCAAAATCATGGCTCATTGAAGACTCAAACTTCTGGGCTCCAGCGATCCTTCCACCTCAGCCTTCTGAGTAGCTGGGAGTACAGGTGTGTGCGGCTGTGTTTGACTGATTTTTTTATTATTTGTAGACACAGGGTCTCCCTGTGTTGCCCAGGCTGGTCATGAACTCCTGGGCTCTAGCTAGAGATCCTCCCACCTCAGCCGCCCAAAGCTCTGCAGTTACAGGTGTGAGCCACTGTGCCTGACCAGGGATAGCAAGTTTTTAAACCTTTTTCAATCTGGTGAACGATAAATTATATCTTGTCTTAATTTGCACGTTGTTCATTATTAATCAACTTGAGCAGCTTTCATGTACTATCTTTTTTATATTTTGTTAAATTTTCAATGTAATTTGCAATTTTTCTACAGGCTATTAGCCATGTGTCATCATACTACAGATGTTTTTACATTGTTTCTAATTTGGTTTTACGATCAAGTTTTTTGGCAAACAAAATATTAAATTTGTATATAGTCAATTTACCAATTATTTTCACTTAAGTTGTTTGTTTTCTGTCAGGCTTCAATGGCCTTCATCACTTGTTCATATTTCTGCAAATATTTATAAAAATTGAAAGTTCAGAGGCTTTCAGTGTTTCATCTAACTTTAAATTGATTTTTTTTCCCTTTTTTTTTTTTTTTTTTTTCTTTTGAGACGGAGTCTCGCTCCATCATCCAGGCTGGAGTTTAGTGACGTGACCTCAGCTCACTGCAACCTCTGCCTCCTGGGTTCAAGCAATTCTTCTGTCTCAGCCTCGTGAGTAGCTGGGACTACAGGTGTGCACCACCATGCTTGGCTAATTTTTGTACTTTTAGTAGAGATGGGGTTTCACCTTGTTGGTCAGGCTGGTCTCAAACTCCTGACCTCAGGTGAACCACCCACCTTGGCCTCCCAAAGTGCTGTGATTACAGGCATGAACCACCACGCCCAGCAAATTGATTTTTTCATAATTTATTTATACACAAGGCCTGAAGTAAGGACCTAGCTTTAAAAAGCAACAAAACAATGCCTAGCTGGCTGCTCCGAGGCCGTCAGTCATCGTTGTCTGTCTCCCCTCAAATGATTAAACATGTCCCTGTTATATAATAAACCAAATGCCCATAGATCTTTGGATCTATTTTGTGACTCACTGCTTTACTGATCTCTTTATTCCAGCACCACCACTACACTGCTAATGACTGCAACTTTAATTTCTCCTAGGCAAATAACCTGTCCGACTCCCTATACCTCCACATGTTTTCAGAAGTTGCCTAATTTTTTATATGTTAATTCTTTTCAAATTAACTTTACTACATAAGGAATCCAGTTTATTTAAAAAGTTTGTTGTAATTTGTCTTTTGACATTTCTGTATCTCTTATTATTATTATTTTTTTGGAGACAGATCCTGCTAGGTTGGAGTACAGTTATAGGGACTCTTCTCAGGTACAATTATAGAACACCGCAGCCTCTAACTCCTGGCCTTAAGTGGTCCTTCTGCCTTAACCTCCCAAGTATCTGGGACTGCAGGTGCGTGCTACTCTGCCCAGCCAAGTTAATCTTAGAATTCGTGTTTTTTCAAAATCCTGTTGGCATTTTAATTTCTATTAGAATTACAGATTGTTTTGGTGAAGATTATATTTTTATAAGATTGTATTTTCCTAAGAACCAAAATAGATTTTTTTATGTACTTAGTAGAGTTATAATTTTCTTATATATTTCTTAAGTTTATTCCTAAGTATTCTGTTTTTGTTCCTATTAGCTCTGTCCTATAAATTTAACATGTTGTGTTTTCATTCCATTCCATGTATTTTTAATTTTTCTTGAGACTTCTTTAGTGCGTGGATTACACAGAAGTGTTTGGAGATTTTGCTGTTACGTGTTCTTAGCTTGACATTCTTTTAGGACTAGAACACACTCTATGATTTCAATTCTTTTAAATCTGTTGAGGTTAGTTTTAGGGCCCTGGATATGGCTTATCTTGGTGAACGTTAAGTGGGCACCTGAACAGAAGGTGTATTCTGCTGTTATAGGGTGGACTGTCCTACAAGTGTCAGTTAGATCCCATTGCTTGATGGTGTCATAAAGTTCTATGCTGATTTGCTGTCTCATAGTTCTATCAATTGTTGAGGTAGGAGTATTAAAGTCTCCAACTATTTGTGGATGTCTATTTTTCCTTTTATTTCTTTTCTTTTTTTTTTTTTTTTTTTTTGAGACGGAGTCTGGCTCTGTCGCCCAGGCTGGAGGGCAGTGGCCGGATCTCAGCTCACTGCAAGCTCCGCCTCCCGGGTTCACGCCATTCTCCTGCCTCAGGCTCCCGAGTAGCTGGGACTACAGGTGCCCGCCACCATGCCCAGTTACTTTTTTTGTACTTTTTAGTAGAGACGGGGTTTCACCGTGTTCGCCAGGATGGTCTCGATCTCCTGACCTCGTGATCCGCCCGTCTCAGCCTCCCAAAGTGCTGGTATTACAGGCTTGAGCCACCGCGCCCGGCCTTCCTTTTATTTCTAACAGTTTTGCTGAATGTATTTTGAAGCTCTTTTGTTTGATGTATAACCTTTAGTATAGCTGCGTCTTCTTGGTGGATTGACCCTTGTGTCATTATGTAATGTCTCTCTATCCCTAGTCTGGGTTGCTTTTTAGAAGAAGAGATTAACAACAGATCTCTTTACTTTTGTTGTAGTAAATCTGGAGTGGTCTCTGAAAATCTGCATTTTAACACATTTCCAAGATTATTTTTATAATCAGGTATTACTCAGAGTTCTTGCTTACAAACGATAGAAACTGACTTTAGTAAACTTAGGTAGAATTTATCGATAAAATATCTGGTAACATCTAGTGGATTGTGGAGTCTTGTTACGAAGCTTCAGGGAAGCCAGAACGTCTAGGCAGTTACTCTCCCTGACCGTGACTGCTGGGGCACAGGTAGGTGACCCAAACTCAACTCATCTGGGTCTCACACTACCCAGGACTTTAAATGTGGTATAAGGATATAAAGTGGGGATAGTTTAGGATTCATTCTGGTGGTGGCGAGAATTTTGGTGTCCAGTAATAGAAGTAGCAATAATGACAGAATCTAGACACGTGCCTAATTATGGCATGATCTGATCTTAGCTCAGACTGCCTGCCTTTTGGTTTCTATCCCTTTTCTGAGCTTGCTTCCGAGACGTCCAGCAGTAAACACACACACACACACACACACACACACACACACATTATACAAACTCCTGTTTGGGGAAAATTGTAATTTTGGGAGAAAAATCAGCATAGTAACTATAATTTGCTAGGGCAATTGCAAAATAATTAGTGAGATCAGTGCTGTGGGTTCTGTTTGCACGGTGAGTGGAATTATTTAGTGTTTTGGAAGGCAGCAGCCCTGAAACACAGGAGGTATACTCCCAAATTGTGTATCATAAGGGAACCTAAGTGGTGGTGGTAACACTAGGCTGTGTGCCAGGATCTGTATGTGACTTTGGACAAGTAGTAACTGAGACTAGTCACTTAGTCTAGGCTCATCTGTAAAGGGAAGAAATTGTATTCAGCCAGATAGTTTCTAGGTCATTCTAAATTATAATATGTTATTCTATCATTCTAGAGAGCTTTGCTGTTGGTTAACCACTTCATACTTTACTGTCGTTGTGAGATTCATGGAGAACTATCAAGAACACAGACCATGAGAAACTGAAGTATGAGATGGAGTGTCTGAATTAGCCAGTATCTGCATGAAAAGATCCAGGCCAAAGCGTGTGTACAGATGGACAGAAACCCAGTTACTGTGGAAAAATTGACACCAAAGAGTTCTGGTGTCACACAAGGCTTGGCACACAACCCCATAACCAGAGACAAGACACATTAGCAATCCTTTCAGAGACCCTGAGATAGCATCTCTTCCAAAAAAAAACTTTTGCCTGTTTCGTGTTGTCAGGACTGAAGGGATAATGGATATTTGGCAGAGAGAGGATATAGCATGAATTGAGAGTTAGAAGTTAAGCAAGCTGGCCGGGTGCGGTGGCTCAAGCCTGTAATCTCAGCACTTTGGGAGGCCGAGACGGGCGGATCACGAGGTCAGGAGATCGAGACCATCCTAGCTAACACGGTGAAACCCCGTCTCTACTAAAAAAAAACAAAGAAACAAAAAAACTAGCCGGGCATGGTGGCGGGCACCTGTAGTCCCAGCTACTCCGGAGGTTGAGGCAGGAGAATGGTGTAAACTCGGGAGGCGGAGCTTGCAGTGAGCTGAGATCCGGCCACTGCACTCCAGCCCGGGCGACAGAGCGAGACTCTGTCTCAAAAAAAAAAAAACAAAAAAAAGAAGTTAAGCAAGCTGAATTGGTATGAGAAAGGGGGTGGGAAAATGGGCAGATCCCCCATCTTCTCCAGATATCAAAACTTGGCTCTGGAGATGACTGACAGGTGGGTGCCAAGAGGGATCTTACCTGGCCAATGCGTGTTAATGCCGGTCCCTGCTCTTGGCCTAATCACACAAAATGACTACACCAGAGTGGCTCAGATAAATCAATTTGTCAGGAAGGGTACAACCTGCAGAATGGCTGTAAAGGACCATCTTAGTGAAGTGATTCCATATTTTCCCTTTCACATAAAGAACAGTTTAGAGGTGACTGGAGCATAATAAAGTGAGTAATTCTCTTGTGACTTGCAGGTTCTTATGAGTGCTTCAATACTGGGGGCCCTGTGTCTCTTCTCGTCTGTCTGTGTTGTATGTGCCATTTCTGCATTTACTCTCCCCATTGAAACCAAAGGACGGGCCCTCCAGGTGAGTGAGGCAGGGAACGCTGAAGTCTTTTCGACTACCACTTTTGCCCAGAGGAAATGAACTTGGTATATGGGCATCACTGTAGTTAAAATAACTAGTAATTCATATCAAGTTTCTTTCTGTAAAGTTGTGGTTTGAATAACAAGAACTTTTTTTTTTTTCTTTCCCTAGTGACAGTTGTAGAGGCCTTGGGATTCTACCCTTCCCACTTTTTCTTTTTCTTTTTTATTTTAGACAGAGTCTCACTCTGTCTCCCAGGCTGGAGTGCAGTGGCACAATCTTGGCTCACTGCAACATCCACCTCCTGGCGATTCTCCTGCCTCAGCCTCCGAGTAGCTGAGACTACACGCACGTGCCACCACGCCCGGCTAATTTTTTTACATTTTTGGTAGAGACGGGGTTTCACCATGTTAGCCAGGATAGTCTCGATCTCCTGACCTCGTGATTCACCTGCCTCAGCCTCCCAAAGTGTTGGGATTACAGGCGTGAGCCACCGTGCCCGGCTGCCCTTCCCACTTTTCTATCTGAATGTAAGCCTTACTGCAGAGCTGAAAGTGACTGGCAGAGCTGCAACAGCTATTTGTGTTGTCCTTGGGGTCCATGGTCTTCATGTGTTGGTCCAGCTTCATTTACCTCTGGTCCCTCTGGGAAGAACTGAGTCAAAAGCTCCAATGTAGTGCCAGTCGCTTTCCAATACTAACAGCAGGACTGACTGCTCACTCTATTTGGCAAAGTACATTAAAAATATATACACACACACACACACACACACACCACACACCCCTACCTCAAAAGTATAAGGCATCCTTCCAGGCTCAAAGTTGAAGAGAGGGCCTCTCCTACCCCTGCCCTTATGGTTGGATTCAGTGAAGGATGGTCACCTCCAAGTACAGGTGGTGGGTCTGATGTCTTCCTGTCTTCAACACAAAGCTTGTAGCTGGTTTACAAGGGAGTGTGTGTGCTTATGGGGAAGGGGGAGAATGGTTGGGTTAGGCCACTGGTCACATAGTTTAGTTGACCCTGAGATGCCACCTCTCCCTGAGGCTGTAGAGTCATGGTGCTTCTGTGGCTGAGTGTGACTTGCCCTCTCTGCTACGTCCTACTCATTGTAAACCTTGTATGCATTCATATTTGTTTTGATACTGATATGTTTTGTTTCTGTGAGTAGATACAAGGAAGGCACTATTGAGTATTAAAAAGGCAGCCAGGTGTGGTGGCTTACGGCTGTAATCCCAGCACTTTGGGAGGCCGAGGTGGGCAGATCATCCGAAGTCAGGAGTTCGAGACCAGCCTGGCCAATATGCTGAAACCCCGTCTCTACTAAAAATTAACCATGCCTGTAGTCCCAGCTACCGGGAGGCTGAGGCAGGAGAATCTCTTGAACCTGGGAGGTGGAGGTTGCAGTGAGCTGAGTTTGTGCCACTGCACTCCAGCCTGGGCAACAGAATGAGACTCTGTCTCAAAAAAAAACTTAGTTTGTCTTTTTTTTTTTTTTTTTTTTTTGAGACAGTCTCATTCTGTCGCCCAGGCTGGAGAGCAGTGGTGTGACCTCAGCTCATTACGACCTCCGCCTCCTGGGTTCAAGTGATTCTCCTGCCTCAGCCTCCCGAGTAGCTGGGATTACAGGCACCCACCACCACACCTGGCTAATTTTTGTATTTTTAGTAGAGATGGGGTTTCACCATGTTGGCCAGGCTGGTCTCGAACTCCTGACCTCAAGAGATCCACCTGCCTTGGCCTCCTAAAGTGCTGGGATTACAGGGGTGAGCCACTGCACCCAGCCTAGTTTGCCTATCTTTAAGGCTAGTTTATTTTTAATGTAATAATGCATTTTAATCAGATTAGGTGATCTATTATGTAATTGTGAATTTAGGGTTTTGTTTAGGTTCCTTACTTGGAAAGGTGATCCAGTCACTGAGTGCTTAAAGCCAGAGCCTTAGATGATCGATATGCTTCCTTTTAATTATAAGCAAAAGGATTATCAGATCCTTTATACAAATGAGGAAACTAAGACACAAGTTGAGCAACTTGTATAAAGGAGCACACGAATATTGTAGTGAGGCTACAATTTAAACCAGACTGTAACACTAAGGAAACAGGAATTTAGTGTTACTCAATTTTGCAAATAATGATACATATAAGTGGAAACCTGACTCAGCATCTAGAATCTCCTATTCAAGTCATATCTACCTAGAAGACTTTTCCTCTTCTGTTGACTGGGACTTGGTTTTAGCACTATGGGGAAATGATTCTCATGATTGTTTATAACCTTTTAAACAAACAAGTAGGTTCAATACATACAATTGTCTGGGCATGTATCCCTTGATGACTGCCACTAACTGGCTATATGTCTTTGGGAAAAATCTTAAAATACACAGCCACACCCACTCCCCCTACTTCAGTGTTGAGTGGTTACCATATGAAACCACCTGACTGACACCAATACAGCTTCTAGAAATGTTTATAAGAACATGTCAAAAATCTTAACTTCCTTCCAACAACACACACAGACAGCATCCTAATAATTTGGATGAACCAACCTGGTCAATAATTTTAAAGTGGTGTTGATTCTGTGTTACAACTGCTCTAAGATTTAAACTCTGATTCCAGGAGTCTGGTAAACTAAAAATCTAAAATGCTATCTAGAAAGAGAATATTGGTCAGGTGCAGTGTGGCTCACAACTGTAATCCCAGCACTTTGGGAGGCTGAGGCAGGTGGATCACCTGAGGTCAGGAGTTTGAGACCAGCATGGCCAACATGGTGAAACCCTGTCTCTAAAAAAAAAAAAAATTATATATGTATACACACACACACGTGTATATATATGTATGTATATATGTATACATATAAATGTATATATAATGTATATAAAATAAGAATTTTTCTAAATGATGTCTGCATTATATTAGAATAAAAAAGTTAGCATTATATCTTCAGATACACTAAGGTAAATGCTAGGATCTTCCCTCCTAATAATTTTTTATTAAAGAATCTTCTATTACTAAAATATCAGCTGAGTATGAATGGACAAGACTTTTTAAAAGTCTGTTACTGATCTATTAAATAACTTTCTTCCAGCAAATTAAATGAAGACCTGCAAAGCTGTCTACCAGATGAGAAAAATGAATTCTATCTTTAGAACTGCGGTGCATTTTTTAAAACTTGGTTTTACTTCTGTATGCTACTCGGTAATTAGTAAAGTGATTTTTTTTTAAAAGGCATATATGGGAATGGGGTAGGTAACTCTATATTGATCTCTTCCTTGAGGGACAATATATAAAGTACTTTTATAAAATATAACTTAAGCTTTCAAAGGGGTGTGAAAGGGAGATGGTGGGGGGAAGATGGCTTTTATTCCTTAAAATCAAGTCTGTAAACCTTTATATGAATAAATACTAAATTTTAAACTTATATTTGATATTCTCCCATGAGGTTTGTAGCTAAATTGAACTGAAATTTTGTAGCTAAGGCAAGAACCTGGGATGATATCATTTTCAAAACAACTAGAATAGCCATCAAGTTCAAATTCAAATTCACCTATGTAACTTATAGCCTCCATAGTTTGATGAAAATTGCTTATTCATAAAATGCTTAAATTAGAATGAGTATTACGCATAATCACCAAGAAGCAGGGAATAAACCAATTTTACCCCTTACATTCCCTGTCTCTAATTTTATTTTTTATAGGGGGAGTATTTGATTCTCTTGATAAAGATTAAAGAACGCAGCAAGCTTTTCGCCATCATGTAATTACAGGCCTGTCCTATTTTATTGTGCTTCCATATATTGCACTGTTACCAACAGCATGTACTCACTGTGTCTCTGTCATATTTTGGTAATCTGTTGTGGTGATTGGTGATCTTTGACGTTACTATTGCAATTGTTTTGAGAGTGCCACTAACCACACTCATGTAAGAAGGCAAACTTAATTGATACATGTGTGTTCTTACTGCTCTGCCTACTGGATGTTCCCCCTTCTCTCTCCTTTTCCTTAGGCCTTCCTATCCCCTGAGACTCAGTACTATTGAAATTAGGCCAAATAACCCTACAATAGCCTGTAAATGTTCAAGTGAAAGGAATACTCGCACATTTCTGGTTTTAAATCAAAAGCTACAAATGATGAAGCTTAGTGAGGAAGGTATGTTGAAAGCTACAGGCTCAAATCTAGGCCTCTTATGCCAAACAGCCAAGTTGTGAATGCACAAAGTTCTTGAAGGGTCTGGTTTAGTAAAATGCACGAATGATAAGAAAGCACAACAGCCTTATTGCTAATGGGGAGAAAGTTTGGTCT